CCGCAAAAGAACTGTTAGATCTCATTAGATACACATACACACGTACTCTGAAGCCTATTAAAAGTGAAATAGCCAGTCAAAAACCCTAAAATATTTACATGATGAAAACTTCTTTTCCTAACTACATTTTTGTCAAATCAGCTACTTTTCCATGCCACACACACTTAAATTCTGAATTGCAGAATCTTTTATAAAAGGGGACAGGCTTATGAAATTATTTTAGCATTCCTCTAACAATAGAAAGGTGTTGTATATCTGCAATTGTCTTTGGCTTTTTACACCACGTCATAGGATTTTACAGACACAGCTCTCAGCTATTAGAGTGAAAAACCTATTGATCACAATAAAAAAAAAGTTAAAATTCCTTTACAAACCAAACTTTCTAAAGATGATTTACTAATGACAAAGATTCATATTTTTACCTGCCTTTTAGAGTATTTATGCTAAACTTACTTGCCACCCTCTATTTTGGGTATTTGGTGTCAAATTAAGACTTTAAAAAAAAATCGTTTTTCCTGCTCTTATGCCAAATTTGACTGTCGGTTTTTACTGGAACATCAAAAGCAGGCTTTTAATTCTCACAGTTTTGATGCTTAATGAAAAGTGAAAGTTAAACACAGCATGGCAGCATTAAAAATGCATGGTAAATCCATAGCACCCTGACATCTTAGCCCTGCAGAGGATGTGAAGAAAAGCCATTGTAAACAAAAGATAATACTACTAAATACAAAGCAAATTAATTAGATGGTCTGACAGACTCTTTAACAAAGAAAAAATGGAGGCAGAACATATGTACAACTATCTTCCAGCAAAGATATCACAGTGGTCTGTCAGCAGCACAGCCACATATTGAATTTAATTCAGGCTTTACTCCTGAATATCTGGAAATTGATACATTGATAAGCTACCATAGTCAAGAACTTGGGCAAAGAAGGGGGTTTGCACCCTCAGCTGTGTCACGTAACCCAGATAGCAAGGACTTATGGCTCTGAACCACCTATTGTACAAACTACAGACTGCTAAGCTTCATTCAATTAAACTGCCTACACCAACCCCAAATTTAACCAATATGAGAATTTCCTTTTGTGCAGAAAAAGTGTCCAAGTTGCCCTCCCTCATTTCAACAGGGGCAAATAAGTGGCCCTTCTAAAGCTCCTGGCACTTGCTGTTTCTGAAAACTCTGATCTCTGATAGGGGTGAGCTGAGCCATAAGCTCATCAGTAGTACCTGAGATGATCTGGTTTTCTGCCTGCAGTCTTCGAGGAATTAAGCTTCTCATCCAGAAAGTAAAAGCAATAATAAAATATTTTACTATTTAAAAGCATTTTTGTATTAAAAAGAGACAACAATACTGCTACTGTTGGCAATATATGGAACATTTCACATTCATACATTCTCTACAATGTTTGTGCACAAATGGGAATATGCAGACTAAAATAATGCCTTGATTGCATTTTACCAGTTTGTCCTCAGGAAACAAAGATATGTCTCACAACACACTCTTGACAATAATATAAGGTGTTTATATCCCTTAATATTTCTTTCTTTTATACGTATTTAGCTTTCCTTGGCTTTCACCTGATACAAAGTTGTATTTTAACAACTTGGTTTATGAGAAGCCTGTAGAGATGCTCCATGGCAATCTAGAAAGAAATATATAGCTGCAGTAAGCATAACACTGTAGCTGAACTCTAGCATTTGGGTCATGAGGCAACAGCAGAAGAAAATTATCAGAAACCTCACTGATACCCCTCGTCAAGCTTCTAAGGACAGCAGAGTTCCTGAAAGCTGAGCATTTCAGTGCAGATTCCTGCATAATTTACACACCACATACTATGGCAATTTATCCACGGTAAAGTAATAACTAAGAGTATGCCACTTCTGGTAGCAGTCACAGTGCCTGAAATGAGGCAGCTCTCTCCCCAGTCCTTTAACCCTGGAGTACTGGGGCAATAGTTGCCACTCAAGCCCATAAGCTCCTTATCTGCTCTTGTCTTGAAAAGTGAAAAAATTGCAATTCCTTTTAAAACCAAAAACTTTGTCTGAATTTTCCTCTTCTAAAGCTAATATTAATTCTAGTACAATTCAGGCAATAAAATAAGATTCAGACTTTTTCATGCAACAGGGTAATAGATGGTAGGAGAGAAGCTTAAAATAAACCAATTCCTCTTTGCTTTATCACAGGGCCATCATCTCTTTTGAAGAGGTCAGCGCAGGAGACTGCCAAATGTACATTAGCACTTAAAGGATGCAAGTAGAAGAGCAATGCTTCCAACTGATCAGAAGACATCTGTGTCCAAGACAACTGGGTTTGGAACTCTTCACTGTAATTTAGATAAAAATATATGATTTGCCTTCATACAAATGTTCCTAAAATTATTTAATTTGTATTGTTTAGGGTGCATTTAACTTAATTTAAATCAACATCGTGGAAGTGACTAAATGATATTTTTAACCAGGGGTTAAGAGTGCGCTGAAGCATGTCTACATAAGCACGTGAACTGGAATTCAGTAGTTTTTCATCTTGCAAAATAAGCACAGGCAAATGAAAACCTGTAAGAATGTGTCTCCATACTTACAGCATCACTTAACCACTTAGTATATAAAATTAGTCTGTTTAATATGGACTTAGATGCTGTCCTGACCAGAATCTATTTTTGGGGAAATTAGATAGAGATATGAAGTTTCCCAGAAGAAACTTAGGCAAAAGTACTGTGTCCAGCTCTGGAGCCCTCAGCACAAGAAGGACACGGAATTGTTGGAGCGGGTCCAGGAGGGCCACACAAATATTCCGAGGGCTGAAGCATCTCTCCTATGAGGACAGGCTGAAAGAGTTGGGGTTGTTCAGCCTGGAGAAGAGAAGGCTGCATGGAGACCTGATTGCAGCCTTTCAGTACTTAAAGGGGGCCTATAGGAAAGATGGGGACAACCTCTTTTATCAAGGCCTGCTGTGACAGGGCAAGGGGGAATGGTTTTAAACTAAAGGAGCGTCGCTTTAGATTGGATATAAGGAAGAACTTCTTCATAATGAGGGTGGTGAAACACTGGAACAGGTTGCCCAGAGAGGTAGTGGAGGCCCCATCCCTGGAAACATTCAAGGTCAGGTTGGATGGGGCTCTGAGCAACCTGATCTGGGTAAAGGCGTCCCTGCTCACTGCAGGGGGGTTGGACTAGATGACCTCTAAAGGTCCCTTCCAACCCAAAGCATTCTATGATTCTACGATTCTATCAAAGTGAGATGTTTCTGGAGTGAATTACTACATCAGTTCCACTAACAGACACAGAAAGTTACTGAAATTGAGCTTATCATACTTCCACAGCTTGCCCTGAGGGGTATTTTAAGGAGATCTACTGCCTGTTTGTTCTGCAAGATGTAGTGCAAAAAGCTTATGGAATGTAAGCTGCCATCTTGCATCCTGTGGAAACTAAGGAATAGGAACATTATAGCATTAACTTTCCTAAGTGTCTCCTGAATATTTTTTTAAAGTCATCAGCAAGAGTTGTACAAATCAACAGGAAAGTTGCCTTTAAGATGGACAATCATCCTACTTAACTTTTAATCTTGTGCATCTATATGCATAATCACACACATCTTAACAAATAAATTTTTTCCTTACTCTTAAAGCGATATTTTGGCATAATTAATGTAATCTATTCAGATTAAATTATATGTTGCCTTTTAGGTCTGAGAGTCTTCCCCAGGGAAGCGGCTAGATTTAGAAGTACCTATTAAAACTTCATATGGCACTGATTGAAACAAAAGGTCCTTCCTTGAAACCAAAGTTAATCTCTATACCAACAGCCGCATCTTTCCAGATCACCTCTATGCCTCACAGCACATGGCTGCTTCTTGCACCCTGTACCTTCCCTGTGCTACGGCTGTTTCCTCACTTCCCAGGACGACAGGGGAGCTCAGTAGGGCCCCGAACCAGAGAGACGGCAGAAGGGACTGAGATTTCATTAAAGCTAAGGTGATTTCTGTAATAAGAGTTGCTATAGTCAAATGGTGTTCAGACAAAAATGATGTGGGTATTGTGAGGATACTGGATACAGAGGCTCAGTAATTCTGCAATATATAATTCTAGTGAATTAACTGTAAATATTTTCAAAATTTGGCTGCAAGTTTCATAACACAGGCCTGTGTTTATGTAAATAATGAAGGGGCAATAAGAAATGATCTTTCATTATGATTAACCTATAGCAACAGTACAGCTTATAAAAGCTTCTGTAAAAGCAAGAAAGAAAACAGTTGAGCCAATATTTTACTGTAGAACCACTCTGCAAATGTGCTTTCTCATTTTCATGAACATGATTTTCCAAAAAGTGATCTTCTGAAAGAAAAAGGTACAGTCCTTGTGGCATCTCTCCAACAGTGTCATCTTGAAAATGTTCTTCTCATTTTCCAACCCCTCAAACTCAACTATGAAATCTGAAGCACCAGTTGAACATGAGCTAATGCATACACTGTCATAGACTTAGAAACTATTTCAACGATCCATTACGTTTTAACTAAACAGGCCCTGGATAGTCAACAGAAGTCAAAAATCATCATATCACATTTCTGGCATGAATGGAGCATGTCCACAGTTCAGAGCAACACTGTGCAAAGATGCTCAAGCTCAGCCTGAAGGACTGCACAGAGTGCCACAGATCCAGCACAAGCGTACTGGAGCTGTGCTGCACCAGGGATAATGTGCCACACCAATTATCCAGGACAGAACGGCACGCTAACACAACTAGCCTGCTTCCAACACCTGAGCTAGTTCCCTTGAGTATCTCTGCACAGCCCCAAATTGTGCAGGATACCTGGATTTCAAATTTAAACAGGTGTGTTACTGAACGCGTAAGAGGAACCACTCACATGTAAAGGTACCACTCTTACACAGTAGCTTTTCAGAGCAGACTCAGACTCAGTTCAAGCTGTGGGTACAAACCACGTGCAATACTACACAGGCAGATGTTACTGAAAGATCAAAATGCAAAATAAAACAACACATTACCATTTTTATCCATGGAATGGGGCTCAGACTGCTTCTTTCCAATATCAGCAAAAGATCTCACAATCGGGATCCTGTTGCTCAGCTTCTTCTGGTTCTGATGGTGATGCTGTTTCAGTAATGCCTCATGCACTCTGTGACGAACATCCTCACTGAGCTGCCCAGAACCCACCTGCTGATCCAGAATCATATCTGAAAATATATACATAAACATAATAAAAGACGGGAAAGAAGAATATTTTCTTTTTTAAATTGCAATGGTAAGAACTAGTACCCTACAGGATTACAAATGAAAGGTAATGCAATAGAATTAAATGGTTAATTTTATCTAGAAGTGTTTCACTCTCAGAAGAAAAAAAAATCAAAAAGGATGCTATTAATGTAAAAAAGTCAATCCTTCAAAAGATACGCAGTTGCCAAATTCAGGTCACCTATGTAACTTTGAAGTCAGTCCCTAAGCACTCCCATACATAAGGCATTTAAACCCAGGATTAGCTGTATAAAATGTCTTTTGTTTTCCAAATAACCCCTACCCTATTTGCTGCAAAGGACTGGCATGCCGTGAGGAAGCAACTTTTTTACTCCCTTTATACTTACCACAGGAGATTACAGCCTAGCTCTTTATTTCTTATAATTACAATACTTTCAGTACAATATAAAGAAATTTCAGATACGACAACCCAGGAAAATTTGCTGCATTATTTGCAAATACTTAATAGATCTCATTCTACTGCCAGATGTACATGTTCCTGCAAGAGAATCATTACGTGGAGGTGTGAGTGAAATTGATCCCCCCCCCGCTAAGAAATTACAACCATTTTTACCGTCCACTGGCAGAAAATATTCTTACATATTCATAATCAAAACTATTTGTAAATATGTGCATTATGTATTTCAAATGGGGCAGAATTTTTGAGAATTTTCTGGGATTTTTTTAATAATTATTTTGGGAAATCCTGCTAGCAACAGTAATAATACTTAACAGAAAAAGAAAGGAAAAAAAATAAATTCTGTATCAAAGCAAGTAAAACAGCGTTTAAGTACACACTGTCCTTGTATATCCATTGGAAGAAACTGTACTGCACAAAAATAGTGATATAATAAGCCAAGTCAAAAACTCGCTATACGGAAAATTCAGGCAGCTCATGATTCTGTGCTGGAGTCAGATTCATATCTACCAGTGAATTCAGTGGAAAAGCAAGCAGAGAAGAAAAAATAAAAAGCAGACGCATCATCTGTAAAGATACAGTTTGTCAGTTCCTTGATAAGTGCTAAGAGCAAGAGAAAAGAAGAGACATAATAAAAGGCATTAAATAATTATGCTGGTTAAAAGCAGAGTTTAATTGCTAACAATCAACTATGCATCATATATACATTTAAAAAACACAACAGTTTTTCTGAAGTTCTCTATATCCACATAACAAGCCAATGCATCATATACATAACTGCTTTAAGAGCCAAACAACAGACGACCTGCATGTTTCACTTTCTACGAAGAAGCTACCAACAAATCTACATCTGTATGACAACACACACACAAAAAGACAAGGCTAGGTCCACAGATAAATGCAGCTGCCAACAGATGCAAATGTGAGAGATGTATTCGCATCTCGCAATGAAGAGTGATGCAGAGGTCTTAAACGTTGCCTTTGATCCCCTCCAGCAATTATATTCTGTGCAGTTTTAACAACGGTGTTGACCAAACAGCTCACACTGCAGAGTAATACTGCCTATTGGTGTGCCTAAACTGATAAAATCTGTCTTTGGGGTGCTTGCCTGACTCTGAAGGGAACTTTTATCTCCAGGGCTAACTCAAACACCACCAGGTCAGTTATCTCTGCACTCCCAGTCTAAACAAACACAGATTTTCTATTACTCTAGACTCTCATGGAAGAGATAGAGAGGCATAGCAGCAAGATGAGTTTCAGAAAGGCAAAAGTGTTCAAGAGAAAGTCTTCAGTAGAATTTTTTCAGAAGGAGCCAAGAATTTGCAACACATGAGAAAAAGAAAAGAAAGTCCAGCTCCAAGAAAAATACTCACTTTCCTGCTCAACTCTACTGCCTTTTGAGGAACTGTCTCTGCCCTGATGATTACACTGTCTTCCCTTTAGATAGCCTTAGTACATGAATTTGCAAGTCACAGCTCCCAAAACAGGCCAGTGCTTTCTGTAACATGACAGGGGATCTTCAGAGGAAAAAAATAAATAGTAAATATATAACTTAGGGTATCTGTGCTAAAACACGATTGAAATGATCCTCCCCCCATCCTTTTTAATTCTGCTGACCAAAAGACAAATTGTAGAAGATGCAAAAACAGATTACCTTATCTGAGTTGCTCTAAAACAGAAATCAAAAGGAAGAGCTGAAAAAAGGACTCCTCTAGAACAGACAAATTTAGGGTTGTGGTCACCACCTGGCTTACAGATCAGCGGAACTTGACTTGTATGGTGTCATTCCCGGAATTACAGTCTTTTCCATATTAAATATTAAAATATATTAACTGCTGAGGATGATGAAAATATTTAAGATGATCCAGCTGAGGACAGAAAATGCCAGGAAAAAGAAAATCACATCCCTATCCTCTTCCTTGCCTAGATGCTCTGCTAGACTCGTTAACAGCCACACAAGCCATAGAGTTAGTGCCAGTGTGGTGACTAACAATTTTTATTTCCTGTCAAACTGACAAGAAAGTGGCTTACCTTGAGTTTTCTTTTTTTTTTTTTTTTTTTTTTTTTACAAAAAAAGCACCTCTGCCACATGTAAAAAGGGAAGATGCATTCAGATTTGGAGAGAGTGAAGATGTGTTTTCTTGCTTGATACTCCCCTCCAGTTGTTACTCCTTTAATACAGACCCACTTGAAGTAGCTGTAGGAGTTTAGACGCAGTCAAATTACTGACAGATTGCTGTATTTTGATCACTTTTTCAAGACTTGAACAGATTTGAATAGTAGTAAGAAAGACTGTCTCCATCAGCACCTATCATTATGGGATTCCACTTCAGCTTCTTCCCAAGTTTTTCAACATATCTTTGAAAAGCTCAAGCCTCTGCAATGTCAGTGATAACACTCTTGATTGCAAAGATAAGCTTGAAAACAAGAGCAACATGGTTGAAGTCCAAGAGTAAATGGCAAACAGGAGCATTTTAGACATCTCATTTTCAGAACAGACTCTACTTCCTTAATCCTGTGAGAAGATGATCCCACATGCTCCCACCAGCTGAAGCTGCACCTACTTTTCAAAGCCCCGTCTTTCACTTCTGTATCTAGAGTGCATGGCCATTTCTCCAAACTCCATATGACAAAATGGAGTAAAAAATACAGACCTGAAACTTCACACCACCGTATCTCAGCTACATTCCTGTGTAACAGGGTTTCCATGCTCAGGAACAAATGTTTGGGATTTTTCATTTGTTTGTTTTAAAGAACTTTCCTCTTGAATGACCTTTTAAATTCTGCAGAGCCCCCTTCGAGCCAGAGACACAGCTTACTATTAGATTTTTCAAGGTTGTTTCACAACCATATGGAGCTTTCAGCAAGATGCAACGTGTGGAATATCCACCAGCACAGTGTTACCCATCCTATTAATTGCTCACACCATACCATTTCTGCTGACGTCAGGAACACTAAAGTAGGATGTTTCTTCCGTAAGGAATCTTGATTCATACTGGAACCATGAAATAATTTTTTCAAGTTTTTAGAGACAGACATTCTTCCTGCCCTGGTCATTTAAAAAGATTCAAAGAAACTTGGGGTTTCATATAATTTCAAGAATGTCTTCTCCATTCAGGCTCACTTACAATACATCATTTACACAAAATTGATTTTGTGAGCAAATGTGAGCAATGTGAATACTTAAACAACCTATTGTAGTAACTCAGCTCCTCATCACCTGTGAACAATTTACCCAGGCTGTGAATTAGAGCATCAGGGGTGTAAACACTTCAGTTCAAATGTAGCGCAGCTCATGTGTTGCCCAGCACGAGAAGCTGCATCTGTCCCACCTCTAGGGTTGGCAAGGATGCAAAAGGAGGTTGGCTGCTTTCACTCACTCTGCAGACTCACTCGCACTGCAGCTTTGTACAGACATATGTGGCCAGACCCACATGGAGCCATCCCAGGTCCAAGTAAATGAGCAAAAAGGAGACATTCAAGCGTGGCCACAGCTCTTTCCCCATTGCGCCAGGTTCACACCGTGGCCATCGCCTCACGTACAATACTACACAAAACTCCCAGGTGCAACACAGAATAAATTTACAGAAGGTATACTGCATTTGCACCAAAATACCTGTGAAGTCCAAAAAGAAATCACTCACAGGTAAACAGGCTAAACTGGGCCTGACTTTTACAGTAGTGAGTAAAGAAACAAGACCCAGAGCTCTTCCCCGCCCCGTATACTAGATGAAATACAAGTTTTGAATTGCTGGGCTCATATTCTTCTGATACAGGTTGGCACTGTCAGTTTACAGCAGAAGAAACTGAACTCTGTATATACCAGAAAAGTTGATGGGATTTACACCTCTCAATCTTCCAAATTTTATAACTGTACAATTGCAGGACAAAATGAGAGATTAATGACAAAAAATAGAACACATGGGCTTTTGTGTGCGTCATGATTGCAGTGACAGCTGACTACAAAACCTAATTTCAAAGCCAAGGTTTGTTTGTTTTGTGGTTGTTTTCTTTTCCTTAAAGACAGGGGAGAAGAAAACACAAGCAACCCGAAAGCAGTGCTTTATGGAAGACATTCAGTTGAAATGCTGTCCTTTACCTTAACCTGTCTCTAATAGGAACCCGAATATATACTTCTTTAGTGAGTTAGGCACTAGAAGCAATAGAAAAGTAGCAATTAAGATTCTTGGGCTGCATTTGTGAACCAAGACCCATTTACAATGTTTACAATGGTGATTATAAACAAGCTATCTAAGCCAGCGGATTTAGCCCGCTCATCCAAGCAGGCAGAGTGTTCCACTGCACTGAGACGGATTCTATTTCCAGCTCTACCTGAAAATACTTTGTTCAACTTCTCAGCTGAATTACATGAAAAGGAAAGACAGAGTGAAAAATGTCTGCTTTTTAAAGTAATAGCATGCAATTTTACTGAAGAATAAGAGCAAGTGCTTCACAAAACTGTAAACAGTAGTGATGAGGCTAAAATTCCCAGCCTGCAGTTCAGAGAGCAAGCACACTTGTAAG